AGCTTTCAGCGCCGTACTAGATGGTGTTGGTTTTACTCAGAATGTCGAGGAACCTACTCACATTCATAACCACACCTTGGACCTTGTCCTGACCTACGGCTGTGATGTCTCCAATGTTGACATCCAGCGTCAAAGCTCGTTGCTGTCAGACCATTTCTTGATCACGTTTGATCTCGCTTTGGAGGACTTTCCTGTCCCGCAAGATAAAACCATAATGAAAAGAACCTTAAATGATAAATCTATCACAAGGTTCTGAGAACTAATACAGCCGATGTTGAATACTGCTGCAGGTGAACCTGTTCACAGCTGCTGCAGTCCCTCAGTCATTGACCAAACGGTGGACAACACTAATGAGTCTTTAAAATCTGCATTAAATGCAGCAGCTCCTTTAAAACAGAAAACTATTAGGATTAGATCATCGTCGCCCTGGTACAGTGTTCAACTCCACACTTTAAAACAGGACGTCAGAAAATTGGAGAGGCTATATCGCCACTCCCACTCGGAGCCTGTCCACAGGGAGTGGAAAGCAGGTCTCCGAAACTACAAGAATGCCCTTCGCAGGGCTCGAACTCAATACATTCAACTTTAATAGAAGCCAATAAAAATAACAGTAGATTTTTGTTTAGCACCGTCGCTAAACTCACAAACTGCCATAGCGCAATCGAGCCTAAAATTCCAAGCAGTGTCGATTTCCTCCACTTCTTTAATAATAAAATTACATCCATCCGTGACAAACTGGAGGAGGTTACTCCTGCTGTTGGTAGTGGACAGGCTGAAGCGGCATACTTGACTTCCCACTTAGACTCTTCAGTGGGCCTCGATAAATTCATGGCTGTGAGCCAAGCAGAGGTGATCTCTGTGGTCACATCCTCAAAAGCCTCAACTTGCATGTTAGACGCAGTCCCGACATGGCTCTTCAAAGACATACTTCCTTTGATAATTGAGCCTATCGTAAATATAATAAACGCATCCATACAATGTGGCTATGTCCCACAAGCTTTTAAAACCGCGGTAATCAAACCCCTTCTGAAGAAAACAAACCTGGACCCAGAAATACTTACAAACTACAGACCGATCTCAAACCTCACTTTTATATCTAAAATCCTGGAAAAACTTATAGCTGAGCAGCTTCGCTGCCACCTGCAGGAAAATAATATGTTTGAAGTCTTTCAATCAGGATTCAGAGCTCATCATAGACTGAAACGGCACTAATCAAAGTCACAAATGACTTACTACTAGCTGCCGATAATGGACAAGTGTCAGTGCAGGTCCTACTGGACCTTAGTGCTGCATTTGACACAATAGACCCATGGATGTATTATATTAACTGGATAGGGTATTACTAGCTTGTAGCTGAATAACTCACGTGCTCAGGGGATTCTCGCGGTACTGCAGACTGAACCAGACTAAATTCACGTGGGCTACCCAGAAATTTTCCCCATAGAACTCAATGCATATTAAAACAGCTCAACCTCAGCTGAAAGAGAACCTACAGCGTTAATAAAGATCGGATTTTGTGGGGATTTTAGTGTCCCTTGTCATCCTGAACTTTTTTTCTTCTTAAATCCTTCGGTTTTGTTTAAATCCACACTTTAGTGCCACAAACTCTGCTCGTCTGGCTCTCGCTCTAACTCCCGCTCTGATGAACTGCTCTGATTGGTCAGAGCGCGGCCGAGCCCCTCTGTGCACGTGCGTGAGACCCTCTGTGCACGTGCGTGAGACCCGGTGTGAGACCCACACACGCGTGTTTGGCGCAACGCATTATGGGAGATCATCCACTGCGCAGAACCGGGAGGACCAGACGATGCCCAAATACAGGCGAGTTTCCCATAGATCTTTGCGAGTTTCAGGCGACTTCCGCTAATTTTTCAGCCCCCATGCCGTCACAAAGCGCCACTGAGCACAACCATTCATTTGAATAGGGCGCCATCTTGGATCGCCGGGGCTTGAATAGACCACAGAATTCTACTGCAGAGGCTAGAATGTCATATAGGTCTTAGAGGAACAGCCCTTGGCTGGTTTAAATCATATTTATCAGATCGGTTTCAGAAAAGCCATAAATGGCTTGGCTCCTTCTTATCTCCAAGACACGTTAGTGTCGTATCAACCAGGTCGAGCGTTGCGCTCACAAAACGCCAGACGTCTGGTGGTTCCTAAGGTCTCAAAAATCACTGTTGGTGGCAGAGCATTTAGCTCCAAGCTCCTTTACTGTGGAATCAGCTTCCCATTTATGTTAAGGAAGCAGATACGGTCTCCACATTCAAGGCCAGGCTTAAAGCACTCTACTTTAATTTAGCATATAATTAGGTAATATATAATATATGGTGTATATATTATATATATATGCTGTATTATGTTATATATTATGTTATATATTATGTTATATATTATACAATATATGTATTATGTTTTGTACTGTGTTATGTTGTATATTATGTTATATATTATGCTATGTTGTGTATTACATATGATATATATGGTATGTATGGTATATATGATGTATATGATATATAATATATAATTAGGTTTGCCTGGATCGGTTTGCACACCTGGTGTGCAATCCATGAATCTTGGTGCTGTAGCCTAGACTAGCCTAGCCGTGGCTGCTGCTGTCTCACCTCCTTTCAGATACGGTCTCTTTATTCAAGGCTAGGTTTAAAACAGTCCTCTTTAGTTTAGCATATGGCTAGGAAGGTAAGACTCAGGGAAGGCTAAACTCCTCAGACTGTCAGTCAAGCTGCATAGGGAGTCAGTTTGCTGGGAGAAGTATGGTAACTTGAGCACTATCCTCTCCTCCTTCCTACTTTATCTGTTTAGCATTATTAGGATTTTGACTGTAAGTAGTAATCTACTGTAGTTTGTTCATTGCTATTCACCCGTTGTCCCATTGTCTGTTTCATGGTACGATGACGGGATCTCTGAGCCTGGCCTCCTCCATCTACACCTGCGGACTGCCCCGCCCGACCCGCCTGGGAGTGCTTCAGTCCTGCACCGGACCTGTCCACGTTCAGCGGCCACTGGTCCACGTTCTGTAGCTAGCTTAGGTCCTAGATCATTAGCCTGTCCGTCCGGAGGAGCGGATCCCTTTCTCATATGGGTCTCCCTCCCTGTGGGTTTCCCTAGTTCTCCCCAAGGTTTCTCACTTTTTCCCACTGGGTTTTTTAAGAGTTGTTCCTTGTGGATGCAGGAGGGTCTTGTTGGACAGTTAGTGTCCAACAGAAAGGATTGGTGATGATCAGGACACTTTAGCATTCTACAACATGTATGGACATTTTCTTCTGTGTGTGCTTTATATTCTTCATGTGTTTTAACTGTTGATTCTCTGACCTGTGTTGGTGATTTCAATGGTTTTGTTAAGTCCTCTGAGATGACTTCTGTTGTGACCTAGGGCTATACAAGAATAAATTGTATTGTATTGTATTGTATTTGTTTGTTATAACAATAAATCCATATAAAATGGCATTAACATTATTAACATTCTGTCTTTCTGTTTAGACTCAGACCAAACCATTGTTTGTTACAAATGAGGGACATTTAAAAATAGTTTGAAGCAGAATGTCTTAAAATCTGTTTTATTTGCTCACACCATTACTTTTTTTTGGCACAACTAACATGAACTGATGGTCGAAAGGAAAATTAGGTACCTCGGCTTTAATTTAGCGAGTGTGCTTTGGGAGAAGACACGGAGGAGAGCTCCGCAGTCCAGCTTCAGCGCTGTACATATTGTGTGCATCGGTTACGCAAAGACACGTACGCACACTAGAGAATAGTTCTGTAATAGTTCTGTGCGTGGTCTTGGATATGATCCCATTACGCAGCGCCGTGATCACAGCCGCTGGAAGTGGGACCTGCTGTCCAGAGCGCTGTGGCCGCAGCTCATCATGCAGAGTTCATACAGGAAACAACAAGTGCCCCGCGGTCACGCGTGTATTCTTTCAAAACTTGAATTCCCAGAGGGTCTTCCTGCTCTGTCCCCATCTCACACACGCATGTGTCCGCGGCATTCTGAGTGTTATTATGGGACGCATGGGCATGCGTCAAATGCATAATTTTTTTAAACGCGATTAATGAAAAAAATGAATTGACGTGCGTTAAAGCGATAATTTTGACAGCCCTAGTTTTCAAGTTTTGTTTTAATGTTTTACAAATTAATTTTCATTTTTATAGAGATTTTTCATAATTTCATTTCATGGTGTCTTTCAAGAAACCCAAGGACGCATAGAAAATTAAACACACAGTACAAAAGTACATAATACATATTTTAAAGTTTGAAGGTTTTTTGAGATTTGAGTCTTTTTTTTTATTAAGAGATTTTCTGGTCTTAAAATTTCATAATTAGTAAGATAATAAGTAATCTTTATTTATATAGCACATGTTGGAAAGCCAAGAGCGCTCCAAAATTGTTTAGACTTTAGAGAGAAAAACAATCTCATTCACAAACTGATATCTGTTGTTTTTAATTTGACTATAAGGTTGTGTTCCAGGACCAAGGGCACACACTGTACAGGGCCACTGGACTGAGGGAGTGGACACTGAGAGCTCAGACCACAGGAGCCCAGCAACGCCCACCCAGGCACAGGTCACAGATCAAAGAGCAAAGGAAAATGCCACCTCCTTGCCCCTCCCCCACTCCAGAGCTGAGTGGGTGAAGCACGCGTTCATCCAACTTTTAAATGCGCCACAAAATTATGTCAAAACCAACTCTCATCGTGATGTTGGAGAAGTTAACTGCATTCGCCTGCTGCTGCCAACGCTGAGGACCACCTGGCAGACTAAGCACTGGGTGCTAAGAGCCTGGTGTGTGGGTGGTGTGTCAGGAGCTCGTGGTGAAACGCTGGGGGACTGGGTCTTACCGGAGCCACGGAGCGTATTGACCGAGATGGGCTTGGCGCAGCAGAGGTGCAGCGGAATCACCGGGACAGACTAGGTCTACTGGTGCGCGGAGAGGAGACGCAGAGAGAAGCGGAGCCACGGCGGAGCTGGGTTTCGCTGTAGACGGATCACGGAGCGGCGGAGCCACGGTGTTGGATCTCGTGGGCCACGGAGCTCGGTGAACGGGGCCGGAGGAGGGACGGACAGTGCTGAACCAAGTCGGCAAGGTCGTGCCTGGGGCGGCCAAGAAGTAGACGTGCGGAGAGCCGAACCAAGTCGGCAATTAGTTCTTGGAGCGGCTGTCGAGCCATGCGGGCGCGTCTGGCCTGCCGCCTGCATTAGTCCATGCAAAGTTCTTCACATTTGAGGTACTAGTAGAGATACGGTTATAAAATAAATGGCCATTAAATGAAATGTGTGCACACGAACTAAACCACTTGAGTAAATAAGCTTACGTAATACCAATGCGCATTGGTGAAGAAAGCTGAACTGTAAAATTAAAGACTGATTTATAAAGGTATACCTGCATTTTGTTTCAATATCTGCATTTTGTTTTGAACTGTATACAGTATTTGAGTTGATTGCAAAATGAGTGACATTGGTTTGCCACGTTTATTTGACGATTGCAACGTTGTATGTGAAAAGCCACTTACTGTGGTTAAGGGAAAAACAGAGGAGGTTGTTGAAGGTAAAAGAGTGGTTAAAATAACAGAAAAGGCACTTCTTGCCAAAATTACTGAACTGGAAAAAAGAAGGAAATCTCTGTTGAATAAAGCTGCTAATGTTAAAGAACATATCTATAAATTGATGTGTGACAATGGGTCATATGAAGAAGTGAATGATGCCAAAGATGCACATGAATGTTTGTTGGAGTTTTTACCTGCTTCTGATAAAGAAAAAAATGAAGTGTGGTTTAAAGCAAAACTTCTCAGTGTTACTGACTGTGTGGAGTCTGTGACAGAGTATTTGAAGAGTGTTGAAAATGAGCTTGAGCTTAAAATTGCAGATGACATAAAACCAGGTGACAGTGCATCGAATGCGTCTTTCAAATCCTCCAAGTCAAATCGCTCCACCAGATCATCAACGTTAAGAGCCCAAGCAGAGGCCAAAAAAGCAGCCTTAATGGCCAAAGAAGCTGCCTTACAAGAAAAACACAAGCTGCAACAAATGGCAATGCAGCAAAAACAGGAGTGGGAAGTGCAACAGGAGGAAATACGAAAGAAAATTGAAACTATAGAATTGGAGGCTGAAATTAAAGCGGCTGATGCTGAACTTGCGGTCTTGGAGCAATACAGCGACGGCATGAACTCCTACCTTTCAAAGACCAGGAAAAACATCACCAGTCCCATCACTGAACCGAAACCTGTACAGGCTGAAATACTTCCTGCAACCAAACCAAAAACTCTACAAACAAGAACTTTTGCTCCTACTGTCCAGCCAAACATTCAAGAGACTCAGAAACTACCCACATACTGGCCAGCACAAATACCAGAGCAAAATAACAGTTTGCTGGTTCAATTTCTCCAAAAACAAAATGACATTTCAGATCTGCTAATAAAACAACAAAATGCTGCACAGCTTCCAGCCAGGGATATCCCAATTTTCGACGGAGATCCACTCAAGTTCACAGTATTCATCCAAGCGTTTAAACATTGTGTGGAAGACAAATGTGCAAACAAAGGTGACTCTCTGTACTTTTTGGAAAGGTACACAAGGGGGCGTCCTAAGGAGCTGATTCAGTCTTGTTTACATATGGCTCCTGAAGCTGGCTTTGAAAAAGCAAAAACATTATTAAGTGAACATTTTGGAAATGAAACGAGACTCACAAACGCATACATGCACAAAGTACTTACCTGGCCAGTCATCAAAGTTGAAAATGTGTCTCTCTTACAAGACTACGCATTATTTCTTCGTGGGTGCAGCAATGCAATGTCTGATCTCACAAACCTTAATGAACTGAACATGTCATCAAACATGAAAACTGTCATTTCAAAACTTCCATATAAAATGAAGGAACAATTCAGGAATGTTGCGGGTGAAATACAAGAAGCTCACCACCGCAGACCAAACTTTAACGACATTGTGAAGTTTGTTGAAAGGCAACTAAGAATAATTTCGGATCCAATTTTTGGTGACATACAAACGCTAAATGTGGACCGTACTAAGCCTGTAAAACCAACAGAACTGTTTAAACCAAAGCCAAGGCATGACAACTTTGCAGTCAATGTGTGTCAAACTAATTCTCAAGTGAAAGACAGAAGTGAAAGAACCAAAGAAAGCAATGCAAACACATTCACATGTTTGTTTTGTTCACAAACTCATACACTCAACAGCTGTCGACAGTTCAACGAAAAGCAACATCGGGACAAAATAAGTTTTCTGAAAGAAAAGGGTGCTTGTTTTAAATGTTTGAGACTGGGTAATTTCGCCAAACAATGCAATAAACCCATGTCTTGCAGCAAATGCAAGATGAGCCATCCTACTGCTCTACACACTGTAACAAGGGTTGACAAAGCTGTAAGCACAAATGTCATTCAACCATGTACAACTGCAAACACCACAGCCACGTCTCAGTCATGTGTGAGCCATACCGGGGCCGGTGTTTGTGGTAAACTTTCCATACTCCCTGTTACAGTCAAGTCTAAAAAAGGAAACAAACTTGTTCAAACTTATGCGTTTTTGGACAACGGATCAACTTCTACATTTTGCACTGAGAATCTGATGAAAAAACTAAATCTTACAGTAAAGAAATCCAAGATCAATCTGCTAACAATGAGTCCAATCACAACAACTTCTACATACATTCTGAACGATCTGGAAATCACAAGTCTATGACTTACCTGTTGTTTATACACAAAAGCAAATGCCTGTAAACACAGCCAACGTCATTACAAAAGAAGACATAAAGCAATGGACTTATCTATGTCAAGTTGACTTACCTGAGATTGATGCTGGAGTAGATCTGCTAATAGGCACGGATGCCTCGAAGTTTCACGAACCCTGGGAGGTTGTGAATAGCCAAGATGACGGACCTTACGCCACAAGGACCCTGTTGGGATGGGTTGTAAGTGGCTCTAGTGAAAGCTTTTGTGACAAGTTGGATGTAAACAATCATTGTTCTACGGTAAATCGCACTTCAGTACTCACTCTGGAAAGTCTCTTGGAAAAACAGTACGAACATGATTTCCAAGATTTAAACAAAGACGATAAAGAAGAGTTTTCTCAAGATGACAAAAAGTTTCTGCAGATTATGGAGGAATCTGTAAAGTTTGAAAATGGGCACTACAGTCTAAAGTTATCAGAATCAGAATCAGAATCATTTTTATTGCCACGTGAGTAACAAAGTTATCACTTGGAAATTGTCTTGGCAGAGAGCGTGCCACTTCGCCATTTGCGGCGCTGTGTGCAGCAAGAAACAGCAGAGAGCAATAACATTCAGGTAACAACAGACAGTTGGATAGAAAACATTGTGCTTTGTATAAACCACGGATTTTTTTCACGGGATGAGCACCTCCGGCCTGCCGGTCCAATGTGGCTGTCAGAGGGGGGCGGGGTCAGGGAGGGGGTGAGTCGGAAACACAGTGAGGAGGGGAGGGGAGGGAGAGATCAGAGGGAGGCGGGGGGAGCGGTATCCAAACTGGAAGACTGAAAGAGTGTGAAATTTTTGTAGAGACCAGATTTATTATGATGGCCTTGGCCCGAGGAATGTGAGATAAGAGAGGAGGGAAGACACAATAGGGAGAGAACACATCTCCTGTAACGAGGGACAATATTGTATGCAGTTTAGCAGTCAAAAACAGGCAGATATTCTATTAAATCCAATTAGACCAAATTACAGCGCCCTCAGACCCCGTACACAGGGGCAAATCCAAGCCGGGTCAGAGAGTTCAAGCCTGGCAGACAATGTCATTCAATCTCAATTCCAGAGTCTTATGACCATCAAGTGAACGAGCTGCGAGATCTTTGATCAACTGTTCCACTAACACCACTCTTCGTTGTCCAGCCACAGCGCTCTCAACCACGACTTGGTTAAGCTCCTTGTACATCCCATCAATTTTTTCGGCCAGCAGGTCGTGAATCTTGCGAACTGCCATGCCTCCGAATTTGTGGTAGAAGAGAACCACTCCAAACCCAAACAGGAGGATCCCCACCACCAAAATGCCAAAGATATATACGTCTTCCGAATCTTCAATGGACAGGGTCGACAGACAGAGGGGCTGCCACTTGTTCCAGCTGTCAAGAGTATACCCCGCTGGTGAAGTCCCGTCCGGGCACACGGGCTCTCCAGACCCGCGCTTACGTGTTGAAAAGATAGAATCAATTGCGTTGAGGGACCAGTTAATCATTTCCATTCTGTTAAAGTTGTCTGTGGCAAAACTCCAGGAAAAAAAGACAAAAACAGGAGATAGCAAGCCGTTCAGAAGCAGGAGCGGACTAAGACACGTCCTTGCACGACGAAGGAGGAAGGAGGAAGTTACCATTTAAAAATCCAAACATTGATCTCCCAAACAATCGGTGTATTGCTCAACAGCGTCTCAATGGTCTAAAAAGGAAAATGGAAAGAAATGAATCATTTCACAAAGAATACGTAGCATTCATGGAAGAAGTATTGAACAATGGTTTTGCAGAACTAGTCCCTGAAAGTGAATTAAAACCATCTCAAAATATCTACTACATTCCACATCATGGGGTATATCCCCCACGTAAAGGAAAACTACGTGTTGTTTTTGATTGTGGAGCAAAGTTTAAAGGAACTTCTTTGAATGACGAACTTCTTCAAGGTCCAAATCTCACAAGTACATTGGGCCTCATTCACGAATAACTCCGTAAGAAAGTTCTTACATTTCTTCTCAAGTCGTTCTTAAGTAGATTTAAGACCCTACGTGGGATTCATCAACGCGCTCGTAAGGCGCTGAATTGTTCGGAGCTGTTCTCTTAGATTGATGAATGCCAACTCCTCGTAAGTACAACGCGCGTGCCTGGTGCTTCATTAGCATAGGTACTTAGCATAGGTAACCGCCCATTAATGCCCATATAAGGGACTACAGGGCCGTGTGCAGACGCCAGAGGAAACAGCAACAGGCCTAAAGCAAAGGGTTACACGGAGCAAAAGAGTCACCCTTTTTTCTTCTTTTGCCAGATAAATAAATAAATAAAGTTATAAAATTTTGACTTAAAAGTCGAAATATTATGAGAATAAAGTCGAACTAGCAAAATTATGAGATTAATCTAAGAATATGATGAGATTAATCTCAAAATGTTATGAGCTTAATTTAAAAATATATTATGTATTATTTTAAAGATGAATCTCAAAATGTTTTGAGATTATCTCAAATATTTTGGACCCTGGGAGGAGATCCAGCGCGGACCAGCGCTGAGACCAATGCAGACCCGAGGAGAGACTGGAGTGACCAGCACACAGAAACCAGAGAGGACAGGAGAGACCGCATAGACTGGAGTGACCTGACTGGA